CGAGGAACCAAAGAGTCAGGGAGTGACTCCACCTTTGTAGGTGCCGTTAGCACCCGTTTTAAAATGATGACATCGAGTCAGTTCTTATGATATTCCTAACGGATCTCCAAGTTTGTGTCTCTTCATCTTGATTGCATGTTTCCGCGGAACATCAGGGTTCCAATTTCATTTTACAGATTTATTTAGTTTTTCGATGTAAAGGCAGGCGAATTATACTTCTATTATCTGATAATAAAATATTTAATTGTTTCGTATCTACAAGGAAATCCGGAGAATTTCCAACTCGCACGATCTGAAAGGAACGGAGAGTGCGTGAAAACTGCAAACTCTTGCTTCTTGAACACCAGTCTAATTACTGATCCCGTGATCCGCGGGTAAAGTTCCGATCTGGACACCAAAGCGCAGGATTCAAACAAACCCATCCCGGACAGCCGCGTACGCGATTGATGCAACCAACAGCAGCGAAATCCTCATGAGGAACGGAGAGGTTTAGGGCTACGCACGTACCTCGCGCCCCGGCAGCTCGTGGCCGAACGTGGCGTTGGAGCGGATGGCGAGGTGGACGTCGTCTTCTTGGAGCGACGCCCTGCCGGCGTGATCCGCGTAGGCCAGCGCGTCGCCGAGCACGTCGCCGGCGTACCGGTGGGCGAGCCTCAGGAACTGGTGGACCACCGCTGGCTCGTAATCCCCTTCCTCAAGCCCCACCGAACGCAAGATTTCCTTCACGACACGCGCGTCCCGTGGCTCATCGCCGGTGTCCGCCGCCGCCGCAGCAGGAGGGGTCCGTCCGACCCCGGTGTCCATTAGGGTAGGACGCAGATTTGCGGAGTGTCGGGCAACTTTTCGCGGGAGAGGCAAAATAGAATTTGGGTTTAAGTAAAAGGATGTAGTGACTCCTTACAAATAGATGCATTTCAGCCACCTTGACAACAACGACGCTTTGGCCGAGTGGTTAAGGCGTGTGCCTGCTAAGTACATGGGGTTTCCCCGCGAGAGTTCGAATCTCTCAGGCGTCGAATACTTTCTTTCTTTTTGCTGCAACCAAACAAGCTCCACAACAGTTCTTTTAGCTGATTACTTTTTTTCTTTTTGCTGCAACCAAACAAGCTCCACAACAGTTCTTTTAGCTGATTACTTTTTTTCTTTTTGCTGCAACCAAACAAGCTCCACAACAGTTCTTTTAGCTGATTACTTTTTTTCTTTTTGCTGCAACCAAACAAGCTCCACAACAGTTCTTTTAGGCTCCACAACATTTGCTTTGCTCAAGGAAGAAAGAAAAGATTATGAACAATAATACTCTCTTTTTTCTGCTTAGGCAAGCAAGCTCCACAACATTTGCTTTGCTCAAGGAAGATAGGAAAGATTATGAACAATGATAATGTTCTCACATATGAGCACTTTGAACAATCAGGTATTGTTAGACACAGAAAAGGCAACATATGTGTATATTGACGATTTCATGTGTAAATTGACAATTCCATGTCTTAAGCAAATGTATTGGGTATTTGTACCTACTAATACATTTCATTTTTCCGCTTTACTCGAAAAATCGCAAAACCAAATCAAAATCGACACAAACAAATGTAAATCGCGAAACTTATATTTCAACTTTTTTCTACGCAAACACAATAGTTTAACTGCTTGAGGAGTCTAAACAATTGTAAAACGGGTGGGAGAAACATGAATTTTGTGCTTCGTTTGTGCCAACAGTAATGCCAATGTTTTCTTTTATGAACTAGCGGGTGCCTGCTTTGCATTAAGAAGAGAGTTGGAAAGTTGTCCTTTACAGAGTCGTTATCAACCATCACGGCTAGGGACCCCATCAACTAAGAGAACATCGACTTACATCATAAAAGCCCTAGAGTGTAACTGCCTCCTCGAACAGGCAAGCATTAGCTTTGCCTCTCTCCGCTACCGCAACGGCAGTGGAGCTAACCCTCTCGAAAGTTATAGCATTGCTCTGTTCAATTTTCGTAGGTGCCATGCAATGTACATTTCCATTATAGCCGATCTTGTCGCCCCCCCACTGTAACCGAGACCACCATCCCGTGATAGTCCTTGTTGTCTGTGCTATCCTTACCATCGATCCGTCATAGCAATAAACTTTTGCCACACTTCTTTTGTGAAAGGACATTGCAGCGTAATAGCTCAAGTGGAAGGCAGTGCCAGCGTAGGGTCGTGTAGGGGCGGCCGCCCCGGGTAAATTTTGGGAACCAGGGCACCCCTGGTGATTGTGGCCGCCATGGAAGTCGAGCAGATTCGATGAAGATCAGGTCGAGCGACGAGCAGGAAAAGAGAAGAAGGAAGAAATGGTTCGCTAGAAGATAGGCCACGTAATGCTAGAGATTGACCAGCCAAATAAGGCCCAACGGATTCTAAAAAAAGGCAGAACGAAAAAAAAATAGATGAGCCCGTTATGTTTTTATATGTAACCTGAGCGTTGACTTTCCCGATTCCAATCGCTCGTAAAAACTATCACCGCCGTCACGCGAACCTCCACTGCCGCCTTGACGCGGCGCCCCCCACTGCCGCCTTGCCGCGGGGCTGCCCAGGTCTGTCCAACTCCATCGAATCTTTTCTGGTGCCATATGTAATTTGTTGTCACATTGGCTGATTGGCATAATTCCTGAAAGTTGATACTGAAATTAATTACGAATATGATATTATAGGCACCTAAGAATATGAAGCAGATTGATTCTTTTTATGATTTTTTGACCTACATATTGAGAATGAAACTACTTTGAATAATTCATTGTGTCGGTCGTCTTGCCTGAATGCAAACTAGTTGGCCAATTAATTTTGTAGATTGTCTTATTTGACTGTAGACTTTGGTTTTTCGTTACCTTTAAAAGTCCGGCCCAGGTAACTTCAAATCCTGGATCCGCCACCAAGTGGAACTGAGCTGACCATATCGCATCCTTATCATGTATCTCCCACACGTTTTACATTTGTTTAGACTCGTCTTTTGCTCAGGGGAATGCCAATGTTTCAACGATAGCACTGCCACTTTTGACTAGATGGAGGTCTCATGAACAAGACCAGAGTAGTTGCTTCCACCTCTCTCTGTTAGCTTGATTTGAGTTGACCTTGTTCTCTGCCTCTTTCCACCAAACATCAAAAGCCAAAAAAGAGTCAACATGTAAACAAATGTCTCTCCTTTGTGAGAACAATAGGGTGTCGAATCTCTCAGGTGTCGTATATTTTTTTCATTTCTGCATATCTTTAAACAGCCAAGCCCCAGGCACACATTTCCATTGAGCAGTATATTTCTCACAAATGCAAAAGTCAAAGCGAATGTCTTTTTTTTTTAGACAAATCAAAGCCAATGTCTTTTTCTTTTTTAGACAAATCAAAGCCAATGTCTTTTTTTTTTAGACAAATCAAAGCCAATGTCTGAAGTATAGAACTCAAACACTTATTATAGCCTTTTTGTCCATGGTTTTTCCCTTTCACTTATGATTTTGCATCATTGGCAGTAAAAGCACCGAGTCTTTTCGTTGTCTAGCTCGCTGGAAAGAAATATTTTCACAAATTTGCACTCCATAGCCAATGTCTGAATTAGAATAGAAGGACCCTGCATGTGGAGACTTTGGGGCTTTGGAACTGTCTCAGAAAAAGATGTGTGGAAATTCAAATGCATGGAGGGGCAGACAAAGTTCTCTGGACCCTCACTGTTGATCATAAGTTTTCTGTGGGGTCCTTATATAGAAAATTGATAGCTGTTGGGATAAAATTCCCACAGAAATACTTGTGGAAGACCAAGGTGACTGCAAAACTGAAAGTGTTTTTATGATTGAATAATAAAAAAAGCATCCTAACTAGAGATGTGCTGCTTAGGAAAGGCTGGAAGGGTGGGAAAGGATATGTTCTATGTGGGAAAGATGAATCAATTGATCATTTATTCTTTTCTTGCCCGGTTGCTTCATTGTTATGGAGTTTAGTTAGGTGTGTGTGGATTTAAAACTGCTCCATCAAATGTAAAAGACTGTTTTGGGGAATGGATTAGAAAATTTAATAAAGATGATAAGAAACTGGTTCTGGTGGGGATTTCAGCCCTGCTTTGGGCAATTTGGAAAAGCAGGAATGCAATTGTCTTTGAAAATAAAAGGATAAATGATCCTTTATATGTTGTCAAACTGATGTGCAGGTGGTTAACTGACTGGTCCATTATGCAGATAAAGGAGTCGTCAAAAAAAAACGTTGGAGCTGGGAGCAAGGGTGCTAGAACAGGCAGCAAATGAAGTGTTCACAGCCAAACATGGATGGAGGATCAATGTAGCAAGATTGGAATGAAGACTCTCCTGCGGTGGTGGACCTGATGTTTGTTGTTCCTGTAGACAGGATCCTTGGCTCCTTTTTTGCTGTTTGCTTTTGCTCTGATGTAATGGTGATCAAGGCAGATTGACTCTGTGGCTGTTGGTGAACTTGGGGCTGTATGGGGTGGCTGGCCTATGTTGGCCGTTAGGGATGCTGTATGGCCGTGTTGGCTTCGTTTCGATCTTTTTGTTCCTGTTTAAACTCGCTTGTAGAACTCAGTGGTTTTTAGTAATGAAAATCGGAAGGGGCAAGCCCTTCTTTGATCAAAAAAAAAAGTCTGAATTAGAAGAGAACTCAAATCAAGTATCACAGCCTTTCTGTTCTTTTTCTTTTTCACTTCTCATTTTGCATCTTAAGCAGTCAAGCTCACCGAGCAAAAAAAATATGCACATGTAATTGCAAATTCATAGCCAATATCTGAACAAGTAGAGAACTGAAATCACTTGGCCTAACCATGTTCTATTTTCTCGATAGGTGTTCTAAAACTAAGAACAATTCCCGAGCTGTATCACGTACTATTTACAAGTTAACTATTTTTGCTCTACTTGAACAAACTTATCAACAAAAATATACACCAAATGCTACACTACCTGTTATGATTCTATCAGTGTGGTCACCTAAACTTCAGACAATTTAGCTGCGCTGTCATATATGTATTCACAAAATCTGCTGGTCTACGGCTGTCAAGACTGCGAAACCGCGAGACGGTGGTCAGGCATTTGGTTGAACCCCCTCATGTAGCCTCCAGACTTGCATTGAGTTGAAGGAATCAGCTCCAGCACGTCGCCCATCTTCAGCTCCTGGTTCAGGTTGTGCACAGCATGGCTGTTCAGCCTTAGGCTCAACTGCATGTCGTAGCTTGAAGCCCTCTTCAATAGGTCCAGTATTTTCGAATTTTGAGGGAGTTCTTGCACTGACATCTGAAGAAAACAAACATAGCAAATTCAGTTCTGCTGCTCTTCTAAATTAACACGTTGCAACTTTGGTTAATCAGAAAGCGCTAGCGTGAAATATTATGACGGTTCTTTTAACCTTTTCATTCTCCAGAAGTATTACTAGGATTGGTCCAGTGTGGTCACATTGTTTTGAATAGGAGAAAGGACAGCCATCAGAGTCCGAAGGGAAGGTGCATGTTGCCCTTGGGGACGAACCAAGTCCAGGAGGCGAAGGGTGATCTGTGTGCAGAGTTTCACACTGCCATGTAACAACACATCTAACCCATTCAACCATTTCAGGCAGAGATGAAGAGCAATTCCGAACGCCTTCCTTGTACCTCCAATGTGCAGCGATTCCAAACTCTGCCTGCAAGTGCATGTCCGCAGTACGAATTTGGATCTCTAATGGGAGTGTTTCTTCACTGAGAACAACCGTGTGCAGCGATTGGTACCTACAAGTAAAGAAGCATTAAGTTAGCACCTTGACATACTTTTCTTTTTATGCATAGTAGTATAGCAATATTTTGCATGGTCATACCCATTAGATTTGGGGCTGCTGACATAGTCCTTAAACTTCCCAGGAATTCTAGGCCACAAGTGATGGACAACTTCTAATGTGGTGAAGCAATCAGCTTTATTCTCGAGTATCACACGCACTCCATGTACATCATAGATTTCATCCATGTCCAGTTTTTTCCTGTAATAAAGAAGCAATCACATTAGCATGTTTAGTGGCGTATGTCTCTCCGGCTAGCAAGGTTACTTCAAAGGTCATGTTGAAGTTAGTGCAGCAATTATCTAAAATAGATAATGATTTATTTAACTTCATTAACAACAAAAGTAAAATGAAAGGCAAATCATTTGATTTGTTTTTCTAGTAAGGACACCATAATGAAAACATGATGCACGAGTTTACCTTGTCATCTTGCTGTAGATGCTGTAGATGCTCTTGTGCCTCCCTGATATGGAACGATAGGATAGCCCTCTCACCTGAAGGGCCTGTTCCAGTCGCCTTATTGCAGCTGCAATCATATCTCTGTTGTAAAACTCATGAAGGTTGGATGACAGTTCGTCATATTGCTCTGGGTAAAGATGCTTGAAACACAGATTTTCAAGCTGCTCCTTCCAGTTCAAGATCCCCAATTGATTCGCCAATGGAGCAAATATCTCTAGTGTTTCCTTCGCAAAGCACTGCTGTTTGATCTTGGGCAATGAATCTAACGTCCTCATATTGTGTAGTCTATCAGCAAGTTTGATAAGCACTGCTCTCGCATCCTCCATTGCAAGGAAGACCGTACGCAGTCTGTCAGCTTCATCAATTCTGCTCGCTGTATCGTTTCTACGGGCCAGTTTGCTCAAATGACTTAGATTAGAAACCTGTCAAATATTCGACACAACTAAGTCTAGTCATTCAATGTCCTCAAACGACCAAAGCACCCTTGCTGCCAAAAAATGGTGAAGCACCCTAACATATAGCAGGGGTAATATTGATAAAGATGACTGACAAGGCGACAACATGTAGCAGAACAAACAACAGCCTTTCCCAAGTTCCAGATAATAAATGTGATATCATGAAAGAAGACACATAAAATCACCAAAAACTGTGTCTGCTTTGATCTGGTAAACAGCCAGGAAGAAATTCTAAAATATACCAAAGCACAAGTCAATCCTAGGAGATGCCTGCAGCCTACTTTAATAGAGGTGATGTTAACTTAATACCTAACTTAGATAAACATAAGATTTGTATTTGTTCTAGAAGCCCTATCAATAACGTAACAATCAATTATGGTCTGTCAGTCATAATCGTAAAAAAATATTTTAGCAAGGTAGCCAAACTAGCAACATCCAGTTCTCCATATGACGAAAAAGACAACACCGAGAAAGATGAAAATAAAAAAAGAGGGGCCCATAACCATATAACTAATCAATTGTGACTATGACCTGGTCCTTCGCCTAAAAAACTATGGCCTGATCCTGGACACCGGCACAGATCAAGTCATGCTCAGAAAATTATCTGCAGATGCCGGTACGAATAATCTACCAGTGAAGAAGCTCCGAATTGCTACATTATCACTTTATCAGTATGGTGGAATAGGTGTAGCAGCAATGGCACCTTACCTTGGTTCGTTCCAGAAAATAATACTACCACACTAAGCGAGTTTTAACAGATAAAAACAGTTCTACTACTCCCTCCGTTCCTAAATATAAGTCTTTTTAGAGATTTCACTACAGCCTACATACGGAGCAAAATGGATGAATCTACACTCTAAAATATGTCTATATACATCCGTATGTAGTTTGCACTGAAATCCTAGAAAGAAATATGTCTATATACATCCGTACGTAGTTTGCATTGAAATCCTAGAAAGACTTATATATAGGAACGGAGGGAGTAGATAGTTACAGTACATATCAGTGAGCCTGCTCGTCGCATCCTAATGTCAGTTATATCCAGTACAGTAACTAGATAGATCCGAATTCTTACCCCCTTCACGAGGTCCGCAACGCCAGCACCGAATTGCTCGGAGATGGAGCCGTAATCCAGGCCTGCGTCGTCCACCGTGTCGTGCAACAGCCCCGCCGCGATAACCGGAGGGCCTGCGCCGAGCTCCGCGAGCAGCGCCGCCGTCTCCACGCAGTGCTGTAGGTAAGGGTCTCCGCTCGCGCGCATCTGCAGAAACCACCAAAGCGCCCAGCCGAGGAACGCGGCCCGGTCACTTCAAACGCCCGACAGGCCACGCCGAAACGATGAGCAGACAGAGAGCGAGAGGGGCACGGTCGAGCACCTGGCCGCGGTGGGCCGCCTCGGCCGCGTAGTAGGCCCTCCTCACGAGCTCCTCGCGGAATATGGCGTGCCGCGACTGCGCGCCGGCGATTAGGGCGGCCGCGGCCGCGGAAGAAGCGGGGCCGGCCTCCTCGCCCCCCGCCACGGAGGCGCGGGCCCGCCTCGCGGACGGCGGGCTTCGGCAGGGAGCTCGAGGAGCCTCCCCTTGGTCGGAGGCGCGCGCGAAGGACAGGGAAGGCGGAGTCCGGCACCGGGTCGCCCGCAGCTCACCGGCGGCGGAGGCCGGGGCGCGGGGGAGAAGCTCCAGCGCGGCGTGGGGCTGCGGCGCCGAGAGTCGGTGGTGGGGGCGGCACTTGACGGAGCAGGCGACCGCCGCCGGCATGGCTCCTGGTGGTGGTGCTGGCTGGCTCGGCGAGTTGGAGTTCGGCGGAGGGGACGGGGCAAGAGGGGGAGTGGGGGAGGTGGAGATTGGAGAAAGAGGCGTGGAAGGGAGCTCTAGTTGGGACGTTGGGCTCTTCGCGCGTGCTGGCGTGGTTATGAATAGTAAGCCTACTCGTGGGAAGATAGGTGGTCGTTTATATTTTAGACCTCAAGTCGCCAAATCATTTGGGTTGGCTTGGCTTGCTAATTTTCGAACGAGGAAGTATGCTTTTTTTCGAGAGCACGATTAAATTATGTGCCGTAGTTTTAGTTTTATAATAGAAGGCACATGATTAAATACAAGAATTCTGACAAACTTCCATCACATGCCGATGAGAGGCAAAACACCACTTCAACTTACACGCACACAAAGAACTCCAACACAAAAGTATCTGTTCTAAATTGACCAACAAGAGCAGCTGCGTCTCGACCAATGTTGGTCACCTCTAAAGAGCAACAACTTCAAACAAATTCTCCTTGCCGACGCATCAACCTGTATGTGGCATTAACCATCCTTGATTGCCTAAAAGAGCTGGCAGGTGGGTGCTGAGACTCGAACCGCCCCAAGAAAGCTATCAACTTGAAATCGCCCGCGGCGGTGTACATAGTACCTTTAGG